GTAAAATAATTCAACTCGTTTTTTTAATCATATTTTTTTTGTTGTTCGTATAATTTAACCTAAAAAAGAAGCGGTTTCTCATTCTATCACTTTTTTTTTGCCACCCACGAACTTAATAGTTTTTCTTTTTCTACACCAAAATTTGCTCGATAAAAAAAAAAAAAAAAAAAAAGTTGAATTAGTCCAATGTCCCTGTCACTTAACACATCAAGAGTTGGTTGTTTGGGGAAGAAGATTACGTTGTCCCGTTCCCCACAAGTCCAATCCTAATTTTTGAAAAACACTCCGTAAAGTTTGGATTGGATCACCGGTGACGTTTACGAATCCGAACAATAATTTTAGATGTGTTGATTTGATTTGTCAAGCGTAGGTGTCGAGTATTTTTCATATTTTCAAAATGTTTTTTCTTTTACAACCGATATTTAATGTGTTCGATAGTGATTTTTTTTTTTATTTTTTTTTTCTTGGAAGAAAAAGAAAACCAAAATGGACTGAAAATCAAGATTAGTCAGTGATTAGTTGTCATTAAAGTATTGGAAAAAAGCCTAATAAACCAGTCCAAACCCATTCTACCAAGTCAAAGTAAGGGTCATGCATGGAATTTTCAAGCCTTCTTTTTTATTATTATTTACTAACCATTACCAAATTATTAATTATTATTATATAATTATTTTATTACCTCTCAACAGACTCCTACACCCTTGTCAACAATGTTTAGTTCTTCTCTCCAACCGATGTCAGATCTCACAATTCACCCTTCTTCGAAACTCAGCATCCTGGTTAGTACTCTTCTCTTCTCCAATTGATGTGGGACCCTCAACTCATAAAAAATGTTTTTCCCGATTGACGTGGGATCTCACGATAAAACCCATTATTTATTATAATTTATAAACGGGTTGAAAATTTAAACCCGATGAAAAAAATTACTTGGAATAAATTGATTTTTTATTTTTTTTATTTAAGCTATTTTTCTAAAATAGATTTGATTTGGCCATCAAATAATTTGTTAACTTAAAGTTTCACTTTAATGGAATAAAGCAAAGAGTCAAGTAAATTGGAAGCAATGGCTTCTTTTTATTTTTTATTATTTATATTTTTATGGTGAATTTTTAAGATTAATGACGTAAGCAATAGTGTGCATGACGTAGGCGGCAAAGTCATCCTCTCCCCCACTAAAATCTTGTGTGTTTATAAGAGCTTCTCAGCCTCTTCCATTGCTCCAAACACACTAAAAAAATTTCCTTCTCATTTTCCCATTCTCCAAACAGAAAATTCTCTCTCCTCATTTTCTCTTCTCTCTCTACAAAAAAAAAAAAAAAAAAAAAAAAAAAAAAAAAAAAAAATCACAAAGCAAAAGAAAAGAAAAAAAAAAAAAATGGCTTACTTGGCCAAATGTACTAATGCTCCCTCAACGCCGATCACTGTTTCAAACCACCCCTTATCTTACTCCCCTATCTCTTCTTCCTCCGCTGCCACCACCAATTTTGGTTCCCCACCCACATCTCAGCCGTCGTCTCCACCGCCGCCTGCGGTGATCCTCAGCCCCTGCGCCGCCTGCAAGATCCTCCGCCGCCGCTGCGTCGAGAAGTGCGTTTTGGCTCCCTATTTCCCTCCGTCCGAGCCTCTCAAGTTCACCATTGCTCATAGAGTCTTCGGAGCTAGCAATATCATCAAATTCTTGCAAGTATGCCCAAAAATTTATTTTTTTTATTAAATTAATTCACACCCACATTTTGAAATTCCCCAATTTGTCCTTCCAATCTATTTTTGTTTAGAGTTTAAGGTTAGGAAATTATTATTAGTAATTCCATGTATTGTAGGAAAAAAAAACATTAATTAATTAACTTTTTTTGGTATTTTTAAAATAAACAAAAGGGTATAGTCGGATTTAACTAAAAAAAGAAATGAGTTGATTTGACTTAACTGGGTTTGACTTTTGATGGGACTTAATCCCGTAATCAATGCAACTTTGGTCTCTCTAATTTTCCTCTAAACCTTATTATTAAACAACTAATTAAAGAATTAACTTTTTCTTAATATTTGCAGGAGCTGCCAGAGTGTCAGAGGACAGATGCAGTGAGCAGTATGGTATACGAAGCACATGCGCGGCTGCGAGATCCAGTGTACGGCAGCGCCGGCGCTATTTGCCAGCTGCAAAAGCAAGTGAGCGAGCTGCAAGCCCAGCTAGCCAAGGCGAGGGCGGAGGTGGCTAATATGCAGCACCAACAAGCCAACTTACTGGCTTTGATTTGCATGGAAATGAGGCAATCGCCGGACCCCGTTTGGCCGCCGCAACTCCCCGACACTACCTGCTTCCTCGACGACGCCGCCCTTAGCTCGCCGTGGGAGCCACTTTGGACGTGATTTCAAAGTTAATTGTTTTGGAATGATATTTAATTTGGGTTAGAGAAGGATTTAAGTTAATTGTTATAGTAAAAATATACTTTAAATATATAAATGGTAACGTTGATGATTATAAGATAATAATGTTACTTATTTTAACTAAATTATGAAATGGGATCCAAAGCTTTTCCCTATAATTGTAATCTTTTCAGTTCAATTCAATGGTGAATTTTTCATTTTTCATTTTAAATAATAAATATAATCTTAATTTTGTAATAATTGGAGTCAGATCCATTCATTCATTATATGAATTATTTATACTCGAAAAAAATGGACCATACCATATAAAGAGTATTCTTTAAAATGAAATAAGTTGTCGTCTTGCCGAAAGAAAAAAAGAGAGATTTATTTTTAATAGACTGACATGTTCCTACATGAAACTCACTTTTAACCTAAAATAACTGCATGTCCGGATGATAAAATTATTGAGATGATCTCGGATTTAATTACGATCATAAATTATATTTATTTATTTATTAAATAAATATATTATGAATAAATAAAAAAATTGCAACCATAAATTGACTTAATTGCAACTTTCTTCCCATTCTCTTTCAACGGGCTCTAGTTTCTCTCATTTTGGTCACATTTTCAAACATCTAGAAGAAATAAAATTAAAAAATAAAAAAAACTCCAATAGTGTGTTGAAAATTAATTTAATTAATTTAAATTTTTAATGAAGAAAATTATTAAAAAATAAAAGTAAGTAGGCATCATTAAATTACTTCAATCGTCAAAAAATGATGGGTTTTGTAGATTTAAAATTTTTTTAAAAAATTAAATTTAGAATTTTGTAGTAATTATTATTTATTGTAAAATAAAAAGGGAGGGAAAGAGAAATATAATATTATTATTACTATTATATTGAGAGTGACATAAGTGGAAAGTGAAAAATAAATTACTGATTCAATGGATTAAATTATTACATTATTGCATGCATAAGTTTCCATTACTACACTCAAATTTCTGTTATTACAAATAATTTTCTTATTATTTTTCCCTTTTTTTTTTTCTTATTTTCTTAACAAAACACATGAATTAAATCATATCTTTTATTATTATTATTATTATGGACTACCAATAAATAAATAATAAACTATTAAAAAATTTATAAAAATAATATGTAACGATGGAATAAAAAATGTATATATAAATGACTGGAAAGAGTCGAGATGAGTAATTAAAATTTACCGACCTAAATAACGCGTTTTTTTTTCCGGTTCGGAATATAAGTTAAAATCAAGTTTGTCATTAAGTGAAGAACGAAAATTACCGATGTGTCGGCGGAAATATGAGAAAATTTTATTTTTTTTTTCTTTTCACAAACATGTCGGCCCATCCAATGGCCAACCTTGTAACTAAATCCCATCCACACGTTGAAAGAGATCTCCCCCGTCCAAAATTTTGAAGAATTTAATTTATTTTTCAAATTAATGTAGATTATCAAGTGTAAATCAATTTAGATTCAAAATTAATATATAATTCTTGCTAAATAAATAAAGAAAATAAAAATATATGAGAATATAGAAAAATCATTGTTTATTTATTTAATTTTGGTATTTCTCTGTTTTTGTTCCAATTAAATTGGTTTAGTTGTGAATAGTTTTTAATTTTAATTGATATAATTATTAAATAAAAGAATAATGAATTATAAATAATAATTAAGGAAAAGAAAGATATTGTTGTAGATTTGTCAGGAATCAATCTTGGAAGTACACAAAAAATAAAGACATTCATACTTTGCTTCTCATATTTTGTCTGTTTTTTTATTATGTTTTAGATTCGTGATGTTGTGATTTGATGATGATATTTTATAAGGCTTTAACTTCATTTAAAAATAAAAATAAAAATAATGGAAATATAATTTGAGAAATTATTATATTTTAGAGAAAATTTTTTAAAAAATATATGTATATTTGAAAGGAGAGATCTCTTGAAATATATGTATATGCGATATTTTGAGATATATCTAAGTCGACCAATAATAAAGATATTGGGTAAGTGTATATGTGCACACGGATTTGTCAACTCGGACCAAATTGGTTTGCAGCCACATTAGACTTTTTTTTTTTTTTTTTTTTTTTTTTTTTTATAAAAGAAAAGAAAATAAAATACTTTGTTGTATAAAATTAGAGAGAAACCCAAACTTTTGTTTCATGGTCGTGTTATTAGGGGAAACGTCCAACTACAACTTATTTTTCGTATCGTTATTTCCATTTCAATATATATCTTAATTTTATTAAATGCTTTTTTTATAATAAAAATAAACGCAGCATTTTCCCACATTATATCATATAATAAGAAGAAAAAATTAAAGGCTTTTGTTTTTGTGATCATTGTTTTGACTTGATTGATTCTTTCTCTTTGTAATGGGAAAGCTTTGAATTATTGAGAAATAAATAAATGGAGTTTGTGAGAAATAATTAGATTAATGGGAGCTAAGTTGAAGTCTTTCCTAACTAAGATGAACAATTAATGTGAAACATGTCAAAGAAAATGACCATTTTTCCTTCATTTTGTTGGGATTGTAGCACACACATTAATTATAAACATATGGTAATATTTTTATGGGTTTATTTTTCAATCATAGATTAGAAAGAACAAAAAAGCATTCAACACATTCATTCAACAAATTTTTGACTTAGTATTTTATAGTGCAACAACACTAGACAATGCTGCAATATTTACTACTAATATAAACCCACCAAAAACAAGAACAAAAAACATATCTGATCCAGAAAGGACTCTGCGTCCAAGTTTTGATACCTTAAACTCGTTTGTAGAAGAGAACATAGGCCCTCTCATGTAACACGTGATCCTTCCCGATTGCAGTGACAGATGCATCGTCAAATCGAAGCCATTGGTTGTTATGGAATCGAACATCAGCAGTGTAATGTCCCTTTGAGGACTCTCTTCCATGATGGGTTATGGTAGCCACAAGTTCATATTTCCTACCCTGAAAGAATTGCAATGACAGGAACACAATTTGCTAGCTTTCTTTCCAATTGATATAGTTGATACCAATGCCCCACCCCACCCCTCGCCCCCAATACACACATCCAATCTCTCTCTAAAGACCACAGACCAACAGAGAGGGCAATATAGCTACTACGACTGTTATCACTGTTACCAGATATTGTCTTCTATTGGCTTTCCATTCAAGGACTTCCCGTCGAGATTTTAAAACAAGTCTACTAGGGAGAGGTTTCCATACCCACACCCTTATAAGGAATGTTTCGTTCCTCTCTCCAACCAATGTGAGATCTCACACTTGAACTATTAACTTTAGGTATTAAAAGACAGTAACGTAAGAGGGTGGAATATCAAGTACCTCTGAGGAGGACGACACAAGAAGATCGCGGTTTAAAACCAGCTCAAGTGGGAAATGCACAGACTTATTCAACTTGGTACTTCCGTGGCTTCCATAGCCAAAACGCTTCAGGTGCAGTATCATTATCTTGGACAGTTTCTGTATCTTCACAGATTTGCTAGCAGACACAACGCCAGCCTGCATAAAATATATCTCAATTTCCGAAACATATGAAACTAAAAGTATGCTTAGTGAAAAGTGTCTGCACTCAATATTCACACATAAGAAAGAGGATTCTATAGCTATGCACAAGATAGTACACCTTCCCAGCAGCTGATGACCGGTACCCTTCAAGAGTTTCTGGTGCAGAAAACAAACGTAGAGCATCCTCGATAGTGCGAACAGCTTGAGGGTAGATATCAAGGTGCAGTGAAAAAAATGGCTGGCCAGTAGCTGAAGGTTTATTCCCTACTCAATCCCATAGAAGAAAATGGATCAGAGGTGATCATATCAAGAAAAAGCAAGTATCTAGACAGCAATAAAATATTTGGTTCCTGTCCATTGAATTTTAGAGGGATTCCAAGATACTAATTAAATTCTAAACCAAAATTATTTACAATCTTCCATTCGCTTTAAAAACCAAAACAACAGCAGACCAAAAACCCATGACTCTTGTGCCCATGTGTATGGTGAAGCATATACTACCTACCTCTTGCTTTCACCATGCTTGTCAGTTGCCCCCCAAAAATTTCAGTCAACTCTGAAGGAACAAAACTCTGTGTTCTCATCACTGCAGTTTTGTTCTTCCGCCCAACTGTCTCCCATTCATCATCTTCAGCAGAAGCAACCATAAAAGATTTACCCCCATTCATACTTGAAGACATTCCACCAAGCTTCAGCAATTCAGCATGCATTCGATCCATGACGAAACTTAAAAATTCTTGTGTGTCTTCCTGCCTGGATAAGCATAATGACAGGAATTTAAGATTCGTTTATTTCAAGCATATAGAGTATTTTAGAGGCGATAATTGAATCTATAATGTCTGATAGACATCATATCAGTGGAAGTCCCGTTTTTTTATTGAAGTTCCAGTAAAAAAACCCACAACCAAGGATGAGAGTTCAGCATTGAAATGAAAAGATATACATCAACAAACCTTGGACGGCCCTTGATACCGCAGGGTAGATCTGGACTAAAATTTTTAAGAATGCCATCAAACATGAGAGGGCTAAAAGGCTTCCCAACGTCAAATGCAGCGACATCCTTACTCAGAACACTTGAACTAGGTACTTCAAAGGCAGATATGAACTCTACAAATGCATTTAGTGTGGAATAACCAGCCTGAAAAATAAATGACAAAGTCAAAAGTTTGCCATATATTTACAGAAACAACAGTCATTAACCATATAACTCCATATCTATTTGCTTTGTGATTTCTTTATATCACTGGAACAAAACAGAATATAACAGGAAGGACAAGGACCTTGGGGATTGCACGATTTCTTAAGTTTCTCAATAGATCAACAAAGGGAGGACATGATAAAAGAGCTTGCAGAGTCGAGTTCAGAAAGCATAAGTTCCCTGAATTTATTAAACCTCGAGGTAGGTACTTAGTGGAGGATGCAACAGAGACATCAGATGCCCTTCTGAAATTCTCTTCGAGAATAATTTCTTGCAAATGATCAATACTACCATTCGGCATGCTATCTTCTGCTATCAGTTTTGAAAACCGATTTAAAGAATTGTTCTGACCATTTGATACAGATGATGACAAAGCATCAGTGTCATCTATATTCGTTTCAGTCACTCCACAAGTACAAGAGGAGCTTTGATTGGAATTGTAATTACTTCCGTTCTCCTTTGGCACTCCTGATTCCAGGGGAGAATGATTTTTTCTTCTTTGGACAATTTCCAGTCCAGTGTCATCCTTAGCTAAATCAACAGACTCCAAAGTTATGGATCCCGTTGAGGAACCAGAGAGTCCCTTCGGTTCACTGTCAGCAGAACTGCCCAGCGATTTTCCATCTGTAACATTCAGAGAACCAAATTGCACATTTACATTGTTGACCAGCTTTCCGGGATTAATATTCGACTGAGGTAGAATCCATGAATTGGTTTCGTCTTCAGTGAAAGACCCGAATAATAGAACCTAACAGAAAAGAGTCCATGAGTCCAGAGGTCTCAAACACACCAATGCAGAAACCATTAACAAATACAATGAAATCATTCAAATCCATTTTATCAAATAGTAAGAATACTCATAACAAAAGTTTGACCTTAGCTAGTAAGGGGCATGTAACAAAAGCAAAAACGGCACTGATGTCTAATAATAAATTGAAAAATCTAAGAAAAAAAGACGGGAAAAACCATCTACACTCGAAGACAGTTTCCATATATCAATGTGTTAGACCATACATTGCCTTAGATGCTTCCTAATCAACATGGCTTTTCATCTCGACTGCATAATAATTCAGCCATGCATTCCATATTTAAATGGGTCCATGAAAATTGCAAAAGTTCACCCATATGAGTTTTTTTTTCTAATTGTTAACATTTAGTCAAAAGAGTAAACTTGATGAAATACTTGCAGCTGCATGCTTCTTATCTGATAAAACCATAAACTTCATTCCGTTTAACTCCGCAAAATTGGACTCCAACAACGACCCAAAACTAAAGACTCCATTAAAAGTAAATGCAAAAACAAAAGCGGACCTTAGAATCGCTCATGTCTGAAACCGGATTGGAATTGCAAGGAAAAATGCCTGAGATGAAAACAGGGGTGTTGACTATAAAGAAGGAGAAAAGAAAGCAGGCATGGAGGGGAGGAAGCGGAGTGAACGGCTAGGGTTTTAGAAGACCCTGAAGAATGAGGAGCAGATAATGGCAAACCACCGACTGAAGACATGAAAGGAGAAGAAACTGAGCAGCGGGTGAAGAGAGAGAGCGTTTGACAATGGAACCCTCTCTATGGCCCTCCTCGCCGACCAGAACCACAGCACAGAGCATCGACCGATCACCTACGAGAAGAAGAAGAAGAAGAAGAAGAAGAAGAAGAAGAAGATCATTTAATCTAAAATAACCTTCAATTATTTTCCATTTTAATTCAATACATAAAAATATGATAAAATTAAACTTAATTCAATGATTACACATTTTTATTACGATAAATACGGATAATTAAAATAATAAATGTCTTTTTTTTCACAAACTTAAATATATGTGTGTGTGTATATATATATATATATATATTTTTTTTGGAAAAAAAAAACTGCGAAAAAATAGGTGCTTTTTTTCTTCGTATATAAAAGAAATAATCATTTATGTTAGTTTCCCGGCTATCGGAGAGTTACAGTTGGAAATCTGAAGGATCCTCGCCGGCGGCATGAATATTCCGAACTACAATCACTTGCAGACCCCACTTCGCCAGACTCAGCCGTCTTCCTCATCCTCTACTTCCAGACTCCTTCTTCTTCTAACCTTCCTCCCTCTCACCCTTGCAGCTCTTGCTTTTGTCCTCCAATGGCGCGGCGGACTCACCGATCCCGCCACCCGCTGGTCCCCTCCGGGATCCTACCAGTTCCCTGGCATGGAAGCCTCGACCCTCTCCCCGATTTCGCGCCACTCCACGCCTTCCGCTTCTGATTGCCTCAAACTTGGCCGGAGTGTTACGCCATCGTTCCCGTACTATCAAGACTGGAAGTTCGATCGCGGATCGAATTTGAAGCCCAAGGTCTATTGCTCTTCTTCTTCTTCTTCTTCTTCTTCTATGGAATTTCCTTTTTAACTGGAGTTGTGAAGTTGATTTATGTGTTGTATTAGTAATTCATCGATATGTGGAATGTAGCTGAGAATTTGAAAATGGTTACGAAGGTGGTTGTTCTGATGACTGATTAGAAAGGGAAAGCAATTTTGTTGAGATAACAATTTTTGTTGTCTGATGGGAATTTTGAGGCTTCCTTATGCTGAGTTTGATGGAAATGAATAAAACTAAATTTTGTTTTCTTTGTTGTGCTTCGTTCTTTTTTCCTCTCGATGTGTAGATATGCATTACAACAAGTACGTCAGCAGGATTGGAGCAAATCTTGCCTTGGATGTTCTATCACAAGGTCATTGGGGTTTCACTCTTCTTTCTTTTTGTGGAGGGAAAAGCTGCATCTCCTGATGTGACTAGAGTTTTGCAGTCAATTCCTGTGAGTTCAATTGCTCTACTAATACTCATAGTTGGGGCTAACTTTCATTGTGGTAAATTTGTTAAGCGTGAATTTGACGCTGTTTTCAGGGAGTGAAGTTGATATTCAGAACAAGAGAGTTAGAGGAGCAGCAGGCAAAAAGGTGTAAAACTTCTGCCATTTTTTCAGTATAGAAAATATAAGAACCAACTCATTTTGGGGAATGGAAGGGCTAAGGAAGTGCTCGTTTCTTCTATTTTCTTTAGCAATGCCATAGCATCTGACTGGAAGCTCTAGAACTTAGTTATTGTAAGATGTGCAACTGGTTCACGATCATTAAATGATCTCTTGCACCATAATCTTCTTCTGAATTCTAATACAACATTTGTTTGTAAATCATTATAACAGATTAGGACACATACAGGCACAATAGCTTTTTGTTGATGCATGATAAGTGCTTTAGAAAAGGAAATCTTGATGTGAAGAAGTAAACAATAGCACATCAATCGGCATTTGTCAAGAAATAATCATAACTACAGAAGTTTTAGCAAGAGTGCTTCTACTAGAAGACTCTAGCATTGCCCAATTCCAATTATCTTTAAGAACCGAGATACCATCCTTAAGATGCTCATCGTTACTTATCAACCAAACTTCCAAAAAAAAAAAAAAAGAAGCAAAGTCTGCATTAGACAAAGAATAGAAACCTTCTTCTTAAATCTGTGGCCGCACAGTGGCTGTGCAAATTGCCTTAGTTCTCCTTGGAAGATATGTAATGGAAATATTAAGAATAAGGAGCTTCTCCAAAATATCCACGCACACACGTATTCCATTTAGGGGTAGGCTAGTGGAGGGTCTCTTTCTAGAGGAGGAAATCATTATCATATTTGTTAAAGAGTATTGTTATTAACTTTTTATGTTTTGTTATTTCTTAACTCTCTTTTTTCATTGTGTATACCTGGTTTTATTTTCTTTTAATCTTCAGTCGGATCTGGAATGAAACATGGCTTTCTGGTTTCTTTTACAAGCCTTGCAATTATGAACTATTTGTGAAACAATCTCTCAATATGGAGATGGCTATTACTATGGCAAGGGTATGAAAGTGTTCTTCTCATGGCTATTACTCTGTTGCTGCTTTGTACTTATTCCCTAATGTATCACTATTAACTTGTGATGTTTAGTTTCTTCTCTCTCCTTTTAAAATATTAGGATGCTGGCGTGGATTGGATAATTCATCTTGATACTGATGAGTTGGTACATCCAGTCGGTGCTCAAGAGTACTCCTTGAGGCAGTTGCTGCATGATGTGCCTGGAAATGTCGATATGGTTATTTTTCCCAATTACGTATGTGTTCATTGTATCTTTTTATTTTGTAATTTGTTATTTTTGTTGTGAAATGGTGAAGCTACTTGAACTCGTCGATGTTATTTTTTTCTTTACATTTTAACGTTGTGAGCCAAAATCTAATTGTCTTGTTGATTTTATTTATACAGGAAAGCAGTGTTGAAAGAGATGACATAAAGGAACCTTTTACTGAGGTAGTTTCTTTCACCGTCCGTTCTTATTATTTTACTTATTGTTTGGCTGTAAATTTCGATTTCTTATCCACCATGATTTTCACCTCATATTCAACGGGCTGTACAAACATTGAAATATAAAATCTGCATGCAACTACCATAGTTAGGCAAAATTGGTTTCTATTGCTTGCTGATATATGGGACGCATGTAATTGTCCTTTGTATAAATCTATTTTTTCTTTTCATTGCGATGGGCCATTCTTTATGCTTGCTTTTATTCTCTCGTTCTTCCTAATGACGTTGGTTTTTATGAATAGATAAAAACTATGAAAGTTCATGGAGTTGTTTCTGGAAACTATACTCCCAATTTAAAGAAATTTAAAATCATTAGAAGGTCAAATTTAAATCATTTCGATTTTGAGCTATATTTGTTGGTGTCTTATATTCAAGTTCCGTAAAAGAAAAAAACAAAAAAACAAAAAGAAAGAATAAAAAGCAGAATTATTTAAAATGACTCTGGTCTCTTTGCCTTCCCAGTTTTTTTTTATTATTTCCAGGACACATGGTGAGCGCTTTTAGAGTAGTTGAATGAGTGCCAAACCGGAGGAGGAGGATATTAATGAGATTGAAGTGGTTGTGATAATGTGGTTGCATTTTTTAAACAGGAAATGATGTTCGTCAGTTGCCATTCAAGTGTCATATTTTGTAATGAATATTACCATATGGATATCTCGTGTTTAATCGGAAGCATTTAGCTGTAATGAGTCTTATATTTTGTTTTATATATAAAGATGAAGCTTGTGTAAAGAATTAGATATTGCTTGTTCTTAAAATGTGCACCTACTATTTTGAGATTACTCTATGAACTCAGGTATCAATGTTCAAAAAAAACTTTGACCACCTGCCCAAGGATACATATTTTGGCATGTACAAAGAATCAACTCGTGGTAACCCAAATTACTTTTTGACTTATGGAAACGGGAAATCAGCTGCTCGAATTCAAGATCATCTTCGTCCAAATGGTGCACATAGATGGCATAATTACATGAAAACCCCAAAGTAAGTTGTTTATTGTGAACTTTTAGTTTCAGGATAAGCTATTTTGCAGCACTAACTGTGTTCGTGTAAATATTTGACAGTGAGATTAAATTGGAGGAAGCTGCCGTATTACACTACACATATGCAAAATTTTCTGACTTGACCTCTAGACGTGACCGCTGTGGGTGCAAACCTACCAAAGATGATGTTAAAAGATGCTTTATGTTGGAATTTGATAGAGCTGTGAGTTCAATGTTTCTTGATCTTGTTTAAAGCTTCTGTCCACAGAAAAAGCTTCTTAGAACAGAGTTATGCAACTTTGCGTGAGATAATTGTTTAAATTAATTTTATTTCCTAGATTTGGGACCAATTTTTTCTTCATACAAGTTTCCATCCAGAACTTGGAGTTTCTTTTATGTCCTACTTTTTGATGACCTCATCCCATCATTTTTAAATTTCTAAGCAACTACATGAATTGCAGGCATTCATAGTTGCTTCTACTGCAACCCAGGAGGAAATCGTAGACTGGTATTAGTCTCTTTCTTTATGAAGAAAATATTCTTTTAGTTTATGTTTTGGATAGACAGATTTGCTTCTTTACTAGGTACCGAGAACATGTTGTGTGGGGCGACAAAGACGTAAAAATAAAGTTGCTGAAGAAGGGCATTTTAACACGAATTAATGCTCCTAAGGTAAGGATTTTATTTGATGTCTGTAGTGACAAATTATAAGAGTTAATTTGTTCAATGAGACAGTTCATTTTGAGCATGAGATATCAGTCTTTGCTATATGTTTGTTAGAATCCATACCTCATTCACAATTATAATGTCATATTCTGAAAAAAAAATTAGTGATCTGCCTAGTGATCGAGGATTAATATCGAACTTGTTGCACCCAGTTGAAAATTTTCCCATCTTTTTTTGATTCAGGTGATTATACAGGGATTAAGGGAGAGTGGCGTCTTCGAGTCTGTTATTGCATCTGCTTCTGAAACTCGTTCAAAGGAGAAATTTTTATCATCCATCTCTATCTCTAGCAGTAACTCGAGCAAAGCCGTTGCATCTCAATCCCTTCCATCTAGAAGTAACAAGTACCAAGCAACTGCAAGGAAGGCCCTGGGAATTGAACCTGATGAGTGGCATCAACCCGCCGTTCCGCCACAATCTCCTCCAGGAATAGACGTAGAAACTCTCAACCTGGTAGGAGGTATATGATTCTTGTAAAACCAACTCTCGTTACTTGGTCTCCGGTTTATGGTGTAGATTCTTTTTACTACCTTCATGTTACAGTACTTGGCTACCAAGAGCTGTTAGGAGTGAGAAAGGAACAGCAGATTAAGAAGCATTCTTTCTTCCTTATACAAACAATACGTTGTGCTAACTATGAAATTATGCAATCAATTTCAAGTATGTTATTTAAATATTTTATGGGGTTCTTTAACCAAGCATTGCAGGTGCAGAAGGGTTGAGGAATCAACATGGCGGCCAACTTCGAAGGCCATTTTATTTTTAGGATAGACAGACAGTAACTGGAAAACGATTCATCATGGAGTATTGAAGTTTAAACTGATAGTATAGAATTTACACACTCAGAAAAAAGAACCCTGTGAGCGAATTTGGGTTTTGCGGTAGAAAAAGAGTACAGTGAAGAATTGAACTTGGATCTGATTACTAATCAAACATTGATGGAATTATCAGGTTTGAAAATTGGCTGCTGTGGCGATAGGGAATGAGCGGCAGCGCTACTGGGAGGCGGCATGGGCACCCCAAATGTCTGAGCATTAGTCCTGATGTCTTGTCTCCCTTTTGCTCGGCCAAGAAAGTAACACCCGAAACCGAGCAGCAAGCAGAAGAAAATGAGTGGCAGAGAGATCACCATCACCAAACCCATCTCTGATCACAAGCAAGCAAAGATTATATACAGAGAAATGGGGAAGAAGGAAGTGGGCTAATTATTCTTCCTGAAGGTAAGGTTTGATATTTATATATTCTCTGAAATTCCCATCCAACGGTCTGACTAATGTTGAGAAGCTTCAACGGTCAGTTTTTCAGACAGAGACGGCCATTATTCAATGGACAGCTGAGAGTATAAATGCTTTCTAAACTTCATATTCCTCCTGTTTGCTCCATGATTTTTTCCAAAGCCTAAAGCCACCAAGACCAAATTGAAGGGATTGAGCCCAAAAAGTTAGGTCCAAAACCAAGCTAGCCCAATGGGTTGGCTCCAAAGCTGACAAAGCCCATGGAAGACTGTGAATAGAGGTGTTTTCCTCCATTTTCTAGGTTGAAAATTTAGAACTGAAAGCAAGCAAGCAAGCAGAAGCAGAAGACTTCTAAAAAAGAATTAAGATCTGAAACCAAAATCTCCTTTGAAAGCTTGAACACTATGAACACAAGTTGAAAATTCAACTTCGAGAACAAGCGCCCCGGCACTCGAGTCAAGTACATGTCCGAGAGCAAAAACATTAGACAATCAACCCAAACCAACCTACATTCTCCCATAGCCAACCCAAAAAGAAAAGGCACAAGGATTTTGAAAAGAGAAGAAGATCCTGAGAGACTCCAATTTGAGCAAGCAACATTAAAGTCTATGCCAAACTCAGAATCTTCGCAATTGGATCCGCACCAACCCAATTCAGTAAACAAGCAGCACATGGCATTACCTCAACAAGCAAGCAAGCAAGCAAGCTAATGTGGTTTGAATACGCCACTTAGATGCTGGCAGGCAGAGAGGAACTGACTTTTTGACCTGAAACAAAAATGAAATGAGTTAAATGATCAGCTTTAGATTAAGATATTATCCATAAACAAGCCATTCGGTTGGGACTCATTCATAAGTGACACTTTCCCCAATCACTACTTCCTATGTGGACTAAGGTATTTGCTTACAGCTTAAGACAAGATATATGAGGTTGATTAAAGATTAAAAACTTTAAATACTAAATCGCTATGTAATAAAATTTTGTAATTAATAACATAGACTAGACTAAATTGTTAGAGACCTTCCATCGAAAAAAAAAAAAGACTTTAAAAGAGTATAAACTTCAGTTTTCTTGTAACTAAGGAACTTCTACCATTTCATTTTCAAATCAAAGACTACAAAGACTTAGAAAAAAGTAACGAGGCAAAATCTCATCATTAGATGCATGCATTTGTTTGATGAGAGTTCGTCAAACCATATATATATATATATATCATGAGAGTGACAATAAAGGAAAAGCTACATTATGCAATGGAACAAACATATATAGCTATTAGAAAGATTGAACGAATACCCAAAATGGATGTACTGATCTTGACTAAAAATCTTGAATGTGCCTTCTTCTTTCCCTTATATTAATACTCTAAACAAATGTTTAGCGGTATAATTTTTGTAAGTTCAACGTGTAGGCATGAAGTTGTGATGGGTATTAAGTTTCCCTCCGTCCAACACTTCTAACTTATTTAAAAAGTATATAATGTCACTCTTTCAATTTGCTTATAATTTTTTTTAGAAATTTTTATTGACATTGAGAATGACATTTTATCGATACATAAAAGGAAAGTTTCTAATATTATAGTAACACATATTTATTCTATTCAATAATTAATACATCATTAGATAAAATATTTGACACGATTAAAAAAAAAACCATATATTTTCTTGCAAGTGGATTCATGATGTCTAATCTTCAGATTATATGCATAGCCTGAAGATTCACACACAAACAAATAGAAGCAAGCGACAAAATAGTCCAAAATGAATGATAAGTATTGAAATGGCAAAAAAAAAATGGAATCCAGTTATGCATGATTCTCAAACTGAAGAAGTTGAAGAACCTAGATGTGTATAAAAACGGATTCATATTCCTGGGTGCACTGGGGGTAACTCCAAAAATCCAGGCTTGAGTGCTACCCCCCTCCCTACCTATGCCCTGCAAAGTGAGATCTTGCATGCACATCAGAGAACAAACAGTCAGTCGTAGTGAACTTCGACAACAAAAATAAAACCATACAGAGACATGATAATAATTCGCCACAACTTTGTTCGCATTGGGAATTAAACATAATGATAATTTGGCAACCAACGAAGGACTATAAATATATTAGTCAGGTAATGGGAGACAGTTCATTCCCAGCCTCCCTTTGATTCCATTAAGCCCACAACCTGTAAGAACCTTAGTAGCTTCGCTTTTGTAACGCCACATGTTAAATAAGTTGAATGCATGATATATAGATGTTGTAAGAACACTGAAAACTCTAGAGATTCAGGAGGCTATCAAAGAAAACCATTAGGCAGATTTTGATTGGATCCCAATGCCAAGCCAATCTAAGATTGAAGAAGACATGCCAATTTCCTTGAGGCTTATTATCATGGAAGAAAAACTGCATCACGGGTGCCACATGATGTAGATATCGACTAATTTTCTTGTCTTTCATTTTCTAGAGGGCCATGTAGCATAAAGGCAAGAGGGGAAAGATGCTTTTCCCTGAAATTTGTAAAAACCTCATTGGTTCTCACATACAAATTGCAACAGAAGGGGAAAAGCCCATAATTGCACTGAGATTTTATTTTAATGGCAGATAACAAGATAAACAAGATCGAATCTTTCAAACTCGTCAAATTGTTGGGAACTTGGGTTTCAAACCTGTGGAAGTCGATGGGAGAAGAGTAGGCGTTGAGTGCCACCGCGAAGCTGTCAGCCCCATGTTCGCTCTCCTTTCTCCTTGACCTGTAAAGAGTGGCCACAAAACGGGGTCCGACACAATCCCCATCATATCTCTTTTCTCTCAAGATCATGCAGGCAGTTAAATATCACGTGTATAATGGACCCTCTGACGACCTGCTGATCCTTCTGTCTTCGTCTCCAATGAATCAACATGGGCCAGTATCCTCTACTGACTGAATCTGAAACTAGATACGCAATGTTAAATTCCGGCAATAATAGGATTGAAGGAGAGTAACCTCATAATTAATGTCAGTGAGAAACAAAAAGGAAATCCCGAAACTCTTCCCTAAGTAGGCAGTCTTCATACGTATTCTCCCAACTGAAGTCTAAATGACTCAGCCGCTATAATCTTAATCTCGCTTTAAATTCACCTCAAGTTCAGCATTTTCTAGGCCCTCCTACACCTCTTGTGCATTTGCTCGTTAGAAATAACAAAACAGCATGCTTTCCATCCGAAGCTTTATGCTTTTGTTCCTGAGCTGTATTGCTGTTAGGATGAATCTATGCTTCACAGGCATCCATTCGTCACTGAAGATGCTTTCCATCAACGGGCATTTTGAGTTTGACAAAGTGCAATTTGCCGCAAGAGACTTCGGTAATCGATATCGATATTACCCTGCAGCAGTACTGCATCCATCATCAGTTTCTGATATCGCCATGACTATTGAGCATATTTGGAAGATGGGACTTCGTTCAGAGCTCACAGTTGCAGCTAGAGGCCATGGCCACTCGCTCCATGGCCAAGCGCAGGCCCACCAAGGAGTTGTGATTAACATGGAATCACTCCAGTACCCTCAAATGCAGGTTCATACCAGAAACTTTACTTACGTCGATGTTTCTGGAGGGGAGTTATGGATAAATATCCTGCACAAGAGCTTGAAATACGGATTAACACCAAAATCATGGACAGACTATCTACATCTAACAGTTGGAGGTACTTTATCCAATGCAGGGATCAGCGGACAGGCATTTCGGCATGGCCCTCAGATCAGCAACGTTCATCAGCTGGAGGTTGTAACAGGTTCGTTGCCATATACATTATACTATACATTTGCAAGACTATGTCTCTGGCTCCTGTGGACATGTAAAATGTTAGAAGTCATAGGGAAGGAAATCCATGCAGTTAATAATTGCACTATGAATGGCAAACAAAAGTAGGGAAAGAACTTGAAAAGATAAGTGGTAAACTATTGACTTTCTTAACGCCATGTCCCATAGGTGACCGATTAAGTTGCCAAATTCTCTTACTGTACGTATTTCATCACCCAATCATAAAGTCATTAAAGACAGCTGAAACTTACAAAAAAAATAAAAATAAAAAATTAGCTGCTACCAGGCAGCATATCATTAAGTTAACTGACAAATGGATTGAAACTAAATTCAGGAAAAGGGGATGTGGTAAGCTGTTCAAAGGAACAGAACAGTGACCTCTTTTACGGTGTTCTTGGAGGATTAGGCCAGTTTGGAATTATCACAAGGGCAAAAATTCTACTTGAACCAGCGCCAACAATGGTAAGATTATTGCTTGTAAAGGAAACTTGGAAGATTTCTTCTAAAGTGTTTATGAAGGACTGTAATAACACAATTCTTCTATCTTCGACAGGTAAAATGGATACGGGTGCTGTACTTAGACTTCACTACTTTTTCCTCAGAGCAGGAGCTCTTGATATCTGCAGAAAATACATTCGACTACATTGAGGGATTGGTGATAATAAACAGAACTGATCTTTTGAATAATTGGAGATCATCATTCAATCCACAAGACCCAGTTCAAGCAAGCCAGTTCAAGTCTGATGGAACAATTCTTTACTGCCTAGAATTGGCCAAGTACTTTCACCACACCGAGGACGACATTATCGATCAGGTAAAGTACTCACATTAAATCTATGTAAAAAGGATCAAATAAATACATGGAAAAATATATTTGGTTCAGAGGATTTCATATGCACATGCTTTTACTATGCAGGAAGTCACACGCTTGTTGTCTCAGTTAAGTTATATCCCATCAACACTTTTCATATCAGAAGTTACATATGTGGAATTCTTGGACAGAGTTCAAGTATCAGCCGTCAAACTACAGTCAAAAGGCTTGTGGGAAGTCCCACACCCATGGCTAAATCTCCTTATTCCAAAAAGTAAAATAAAAAAATTTGCAGAAGGGGTTTTCGGCAATATCCTGAAGGAAACAAGCAACGGCCCTGTCCTAATCTATCCACTTAACAAATCAAAGTAATTGACTATCTAACTAAGTTACTGGCTACAATATTCTTGCCATAAGTATTGTGTTGATTCAATTATTTCTGAATTTCAGGTGGGACAATAGAACTTCTGTAGTTATTCCAGAGGAGGAGATTTTCTACCTGGTGGCGTTTCTAACCTCTGCAGTTCCTTGTTCTAGGGGAAACGACAGCTTAGAATACATCTTAACTCAGAACATGAGAATTCTGGAATTCTGTAGAACAGCCAATCTAGGAGCAAAACAATATTTGCCACATTATACTACAAGGAACGAATGGCAGGCCCATTTTGGCCCAATGTGGGAAACATATGTAAACAGAAAAAATGCTTATGACCCTTTGGCAATACTTGCTCCAGGTCAAAGAATATTCCAAAAGGCAAAATCCTTGTCATCATGGCTCCCACACTTGAACTCAACTTGAGAAGGCATCATAAAATGCAGGAGTCGTCTGCTGTCTGTAGATTTGCTAGTATATTCTGCGCCTTTTTTTCCTAGAGTATAGGTTAACAAGGTAACTGCAGGATAATTCAAATTTAATTAAAGGTGTAAAAAAGTGAATTTATATACTAAATTTGGAAAGCGGTGAGGAACAGTTGAACAATGGTAGGTGCATATATCAATTTTGTAGTATCATACAGCATTACTATGATAAATCAAGGAAAACAAAGTCGTTTTTAAGATATGGATAGTTCAGAAGCTACCTTGATTGGAAAATTTACCAACGTAAATTAACGAACCAGCAAGTTTTTATTCACCTACGCATCTCTGCATTTGCATTCTTGTGCAAACAGCCATAGAAAAGTGACATATCGATAAAGAGCTCAAACGAATAGTTTCAACTGAACTCACGAAAAATATGCAATATGAATCAAGATGGCGATAACTTCTTAGTTCTTACAGTTGCTATTAGCATTAAAAAAAAAGGTGCTTTAAGCAAACGCATGGAATCAAAAGAAAAATTCCATACTCATATCAACTGGTCAGTTTCACAACAAATATCAAATTTATAACCAGTTTCAGTCTTCTATTAGTTCCATGAAATTTCAACTTTCTTGCATCTCTCCCGATTGTTGCACTGCTTTAACTTTGCCCTCTGTAGAAAACTGTCTACGAGTCGAGAACTATACTTTCTCCCTCCTCAGCAAAGGACATTGCGAACATGGCTACTATTCTGATCATGGTGACATTACATAGTTAAAATGGAAGTGTGGTTGTAACAGCCCAAGCCCAAGCCCAAGTCCACTGGTAGCAGGTATTGTCCTCTTCGAGTTTTCCCTTTCGGACTTTCCCTCAAAAATTTTAAACCACGTCTGCTAGGGAGAGGTTTCCACGCCCTTATAAAGAATGATTTGCTCCACTCTCCAACTGATGTGGGATCTCATAATCCACCCCTTTGGAGCCCAACATTCTCGCTGTCACAACGCCCGGTGTCTGAATCTGACACCAATTGTAACCGCCTAAATAGGAGAATATCTGCTAATGGTGGACTTGGACGGTAACACTTACCCAGAAGCTGAAACCTTCAATAAATTTGTACTGGTATCAGCCTGCTAAATCTTCTGCCAGTATAATTTAGAAAAGACATCCTTTTGGCCTATCAGCTCTAAAAGATGAGTGTTATGATAGCAAGCCAGAGAAAATATCAATTATTCTATATATGGACTTGATATTTTGATCACCAGAACACGTAGTTGAAGGGTTGACCGACCTGCAAACCAGAGGCTGACACCAATAGGTGCTACCCAACATATTCTGATACTTAAGTCAGTGCCTAGATTGAGGTAGCTTCAAGTTCCTTCTAATGTACTACTTTCAATCCTTCTCCATTTCTTAGTCAAATTGCAGTTGGAACGAGTAAGGGCGGATGATCAAATTTTTTTTCACCTTTTAAACTACCCCATAATATCTTTATCTGCAATCTTTTTTCATTTAAATTTCTTAAGACACGTTTCCTCTCTCGAGTCTCACCAAATATGACCAGTAGCAATAAGGTTTAAGCCAAGGAGTAAATCGCCATTGTTCATTAAAATATCAGTATCTGTTCATACTAGATGTCATGTAGATCACAGACAAGCAGTTCCTTTCCATTCTGATGTCTTCCCTGAATTTAAAACCTAAAAAAGGAGCAACAATAAATTTTAATGTCTCTAATATTTTTCCATACAGCAAGAACTCAATTTTCACGAATAAAAAATTTAGGAAGAAACTCAAGGAGCGTACTATAGTTGGAGAGAATAGATTGACTCCAAGACTTCACCAACAAAATCCACTTCCACAGGGTTTTGCAAACTCAATTAACCCTCCACAGCTCCCCAATAGAAATTCATCCTCTACATTTTCAAAATTTTCGCTAATCAAACATCATCTACCAAACATACAACTCTTAATTTCAATCTTCAAAGTTCACTAGCGTAGTAACAGCATCAGAAAAGGAGAAACGATTGAATCTTATTCAGATCAAGACAAAGAGAAAAGCGGTAAATGTAAATTTCCTTTCAACAATTAGCAAACGAGCAAGAGAAAGAAGGATCGTTGTCGGAGAAGAAGACCTGAGTGGCGGAAACTCGCCGTCGCTGACAAAGGCCTCCAATTATCTCTGGATTCGAAATCGGAGACTCTTGCAATTGCAACTTCGGCAATAGAAATTCGCGGGAGAAGGCCTCTCCAGATTCCTGTAAATTTAAGTTTAGTTTACAATAATTAATAAATATTAAGTTTATTAAATTTAATGAAATTTAATTTAAGCGTAAAAAAATATAAAGAAATAAAAAGTAAAACAAACGGTAAACAAGTGATTTTGTTTTTAGTCCCCACAGAGATTAATTTAAAATAATAATAATAAATAAATAAAAAATAATAACAATAATAATATATATATATAAAACCGTGCACTTTTGTCGTACGTGTGTGCATAAATTATATATTTTAGGGAAAAAAAAGTAGGTGAAAAAGGAATGAAGGGTCCATGTCTTTTCCTGTTTTTCTCAGACAAAAAAGCTTAAACACTCCCATATTTTTTAATTCTATTTATTCTATTTATATTTTTAATAAATCTTAATTTTACTAAATAATTACAATAAGTTTCATGCCAAAAGAAAATTGTTAATTTATTTTTAAAATTTATAAAAAAAAAAAAAAAAAAAAAAAACTAATAGCGAGTATTATTTTTAGAAATAATTAAAAAATAATATTTTATTTTATTTTAAAAATATAAAAATATAAAAGTTTTTGTTTTGTTCTTTTTTTTGCATGTATGGAGGGGTGGGAATCCCATGTGACATGGGGTGGGTGGGTCCCACTCACAAGCTGGCATTTTCCCTCTCCAATCAGCCCATGTGATTTTCTCTCTCTCTCCTATCATTCCATCAATAACCACTCAAATTATATATAGATAAATAAATAAATAAATTGAAGCCTTTTTCTCTCAATCTTCTCCCACACATGCAAAACCCTAAAATTAAAATGTTTAAATAATAAAATAAATAAATTATTCACTTTCTTTCCTTTTTTTAATTATTATTTGAATGTTTATCCAAATTTTGAAATTTTAATTTAAAAAATTAGAAATTACCTTTCTTAACAATTATATATTTATTTCCTCAATTATTATACCTTCTAAAATATATTTGAAATTCTAGCTAAATTCCAAAAATAAAAATAAGACTTTTAACACCCAATTTGATGGAAATTTCATTTTTTATTTTCTAAGAATCAAATTTATACTTAGTTTCTCCCACTTTTATTTTATTACAATGATTTTCACTTTTTTTTTTTTTAAAGAAAAAATTTAATTATTTGTAAAAACCAGCTTAGTTTTCAAAATCTAGTCATATTTATAAGCCCTCACTAAAACAAGAAATGAACAAAAACAAGATTGAGATCGAGAACGAGAACAAGATCGAGATTGAAAACAAGAACGAGAATAAGATCAAGAACGAGAACAAGATCGAGATGAAGAAGGAGAAGAAAAGAAAAGTATAAGATAGATAAAATGAAATTAAAATTTGGATATTACAGTCCCCACCCCATCATCATCATCATCAACATCATCTCCTTCATCTTCATCTTCATCTTCATCCCCTGCCATTTGTTCTTACTGTTCTTACTGTTCTTACTGTTCTTACTACTACACATTATGAGTACTCTGTGGAATAAAAAGAAAAAGAAAAAGAAAAAAAAAAAAAACTTCTTTCTTTCTTTCTTGCTTTCTGTGTCCTTTTCTTGTTTCTACTGTAAATTCTTAAAGAGAGAGAGAGATGGGTTGTTCTACAGCTCTGCTGCTACTACAACAACAATAAACCAGGAACAAAGAAGAACAAGAAAAATGGGTGACCCCCCACCTTCCTCTTTTATACTGTTTTTGCTGGAGGAGCCTTGTCTGGAGCTGCTACTCCTACTGCTACTGCTCATCATTCTCTATAGATATTGTGTTCATATGCTTACACTTTGATCTTTTTTTTTTCTTTCTTTCTTTCTTTTACTTTATTTCTTTCTTTCTTCCCTTCCTCCAATTCACCAAACATCATTGTTAATTCAACTATGCACTTCTTTTTGCAACTAACACTACCTCCCCTGCTGCTGCTTTGGATGCTAAATTCCCACCGGACATGTCGGCCCTCCCGTCCCCGCGTACATCCCGATCGTGCTGTGCCCGGTCGGGAACCTGTACCAGATTGATTGTTGTTTGTATGTGTCAAGTAACATGGATTCAACAACTTGAGCTGTTTGTATATTTGTTTGTATGTACTGACCTTGGCATTTGGCAATTGAAGGATTTGAAGGAGGCTGCTGCTACTTCCCTAGAGGGAGTTGGTGTGAGTATTGACGATGATGACGCGTTGTCGGAGTCATTTGCTGCTTCCCCGATGGAGAACGTCGCTGCGTAGTCGGTAGAGGCTTTTGCAGGTGATGCAAAGGGACTATCAGGGAGATTATGTTCAAAGCTGCGATGTGCATTTTTACACTTAAGAACAATCTAAACTAAAAGCAGAACCTTAAGATCAAAAAAGGACACTATCAATTGTATTACCATTCAAGTAAATCACTGTCTTCAATTTGGGATCTCTCCTTGTCATGCTCTCCTTGACCATTCGATGGGAACTTGTTGGTCGATGTCCCGTTATCGACTGGTGATGGTTGTCGTGGCATATCGGTCGACGACGTCATGACTATGGGTGGTGGTGTCCGAACAGGCACGGGAGTAGCGCCACAAGCTGAGATGGGATTATGGACCTCACCTCTCAAGATGTCTGAGGTGCTGCTGCTGCTACTGCTACGAATGGCAGGGAAGATGTGATTTTGAGCAAAAGGGTTCGGAGAATACGTCGGAGAAGGAATCGGGCTGCCGGTGGAAAGTGCACGGTGGTGGTGGGGGAGCTGATTCTTCTTCACATCAAGAAGCTGCAGATTCAAAAGGCGTCGACTTTGAAGATCGAGCGTTTGAAGATCGGCTTGCTGTTCTTCAAATTTCCTTCGCCATAGCAGATCTTGGTGAGAATTATAAAACATTCTCGACCCGAGTTGAAGATGATCATAAAGCTCCCTGGAATCCAACCCAGTTGGAGTTCCACAAGGAGAGTAATCTCTATCGATTTGCTGCTGCTTCCTGTTAGAACAACCACACCAATCCAAAGTTATCACATACAAACTCTAAGAGGCAAAACAGAGAAAAACAGAGTAAAACAGAGTGTGCCTGTACTTGTCTGGGACTTTGCCTTTCTCCTTGTAAGGTTTAACAAGAACACGAGCATCACAGACAAAATGGGGATTTCCTTTAGCCAAAATCAGCTTCACAGTTTCAGGGTAAACAAAAGTGACAAACCCAAACATTCTCTTCTGTTGATAAGGGATTCTCACATCTTGAACTGGGCCGTACATGCTTCAGAAAACCAACAAATTTCAGAAATGGAAGATGAACTTCACAAAAGAAAGAATTGGGTTAATGAAGAAACCTGAAATAATTCGACACATCTTCTTCTTTGAATGTGCTATCGGCCGGGAAAGTCAAGTAGATCTGCCTTGACGCCGGATTGACGATTCCGGCACCGCCGTTCAGTGAGAATTCGTTTTGCTCAAGCCGGCTGGACCGACCAAATTTGTGCAGATCTTCCCCCATTATTAACGCCGCGGCGACGGCTCTGCAAACAGATGGGTTTAAAAGATGAGATTTTCTTCATAAATCGCTCGACATTCTGCATAAAATGAAAATATTATACCTCTGGGAATTGTTTTGTTGCTGCTGGAGAAGGAAGTTGATGGATTTAGGAGAGTAAGGGAAGGAATTAGCAGAGGCCATAAGCTGAGAAGCAGCGGCGAGTCGCTGTTGAGCAGAGGATTTGGATCTGAGAAGCTCGTGGCACTGCTCCATTATCTCGATCTTACTCGGCGAGCCTACAGCGGCGCCGCCGTCGGAGTCTCCAAGGCCGCCATGGAGAAACCGACAACTGGTTCCATTCTTACAAAACCCTCTAGCGTAGTACAGACAAGGCTTCCAACCCAACCCACAATTCAGATCCTCTGTTCCCAAACCGGCGTCGTTCACAGAGTAGCTCCGGCGGTGGAACGGCCCTCCATCCCAACTGGCATCACCGCCGTAGTTCCCAAACCCACCCCCGGTGGGACTCGACGACAAGTCCGCCGGCGGGAAAAACAAGTCGGAATTTTTAACGCCGATTGTCGGGGAACCGTCGTTGAGAAATGAAAGCTGGTCCTGAAGCTGAAATTCATCAATCATATCAGCCGCCGGAGTTCCCCCAGCACCAAAACAAGACGACCCAAGTGGTAAATTCCCAGGACTGATCAAATGATCATCAAAACTTTGAAGCTTAGAGTTAAAACCAGGAGCCCAAGAAGCAGAGCTGGAAGAAGAAGGGCTAGGAATTGTAAGTGAAGGAGGAAGATTAATTCCTAACCGAGAAGAAGAACTCTGCCTCGAAATAGCGATTGGATTGGTCGAAAGAGAAAACGGAGAAGGTGAAGAACCCGGCGTCGAGGGAGTCGACGGCGAGTTAACCGACGGGAGGCCCAAATCCTTCCTGGCCTTAAGAATTACAGAATGAAGCAGAGATTCAGAGCCAAAAGCCAATCGAATCATCTCCTTTTCTCCATGGTCTTGAATCAGAAGAAGACCCATGATTTTGGAAGCATTTTCAGGGTCCAAATTCTGAATCCTAGAGAACACAGTTCTTGTTGCTTCATAAGAATCCATGGAGGGAAAAAAACAGAGCAGAACGGAGAGAGGTTGTGTTTTGCTGGTTTTGGAGAGAAAAGTAAAATGTTTTACAAGTAAAACTTCTTTTCTTTCCTTTTTCGATTTCTTTGTTTCCTTGTTTCTCAACGTTTCACCTACCCAAGTTGTCGAGATCAATCAAAGCGATGAGATGAGATGGGCTCAGAGTAGGCGCAGCTTCACTTCACTCTCTAAAGCTTGTTCCTGAAACAACATACCCAAAAAAGGAGGTAAAGAAAAAGGGTTAAAAGAGAAAGTTTGGTGGCACAACAAGTATTCCCGTGTGGGTTAGATGAAAAGAAAAGAAAAGAAAAGAAAAGGCTTCCTTCATTAAAGGGAAAACCCGTAAAAGAAACAAAACAGGGACGAAGAAGAAGAAACAGAGAAAAATGTAATGTTCATAGTTCATGAAGATCTCTAGGGGCAAGTAAATGGTAAA